GTATGGACTGCCACCTTTTTTAAAGTCTGTGCAAATGGAAGTAATTGGAAGTACAGGCTCTGTTAAATTTTCTCATTCCAACAGAAGAGTAAAGGAGAAGATGGAAATAATGTTGATAAAACAGAGAAAAGTCACATACTATACTTGCACTTGTAGGTCTACACGTCATGCCCAAAGCCAATTCAGATTAGATGCATGGTCAATCGTGGTACGTTTAGTTTAGCTACTGATATTGAGAAACTTTTTTATAAAGTTTATATCTCACGTTTTGCAAAGACTGATTTAAATTACCTAGTGAATGTTTTTGTTTGAATAAAAGATTGAGGATAAATTGTTGTACATTATAGTATAGGTTAGACCTAGTGTTGATGATTACAGTAAGGAAAAAGAACTACCGGTATCGGCAATTTGCCATATTATTAGCATTGTCTCGCTGGGTGTAATTTGAATTTCTAATTTTTGCTTCCCTTAAAATTGACTTGTGAAAAGCATTGTAATTTTTGTACCTTTGAAATAATTGAATTGTGAATAAATTTGTGCGAACATGTGTGCACAGTACCGCAGAACTGGCAGAAGTCACCCCATAATTTTTTTTCCAAATCGGGTGATGATACCAGATTTACCATGTAATGGAATAAAGCATGTCTCATTTATACATAATGAGGTCTGTCCAGAAATCTAGGCGAAAATGGCCGCTGATCTATCTGGATAATAAATTGAAAAATCATTCTGCTTCGAACACCAATATAATTCGGGTAGTCCTCATGAAGACTGATGCATTTTTTCCAGCATCTCATCAGAGAGCATAAATAAATTATCCCTCCTTTAAAAATCTGGTCAAGAGAATGCAGCCCATCTCAGATCTCTGCAAAGATCATCACCTTCTGTGAACCTCTTGCCTCGCTCTGGGACCTGAAAAGATCAAAGTCGAATACTGACATCTATGGTGTCAAAGTTAGGTGCTTCACCAGTGCACACAGGAGACTCGAGTTCGATTCCCGAGTAGGGAGATTTGTTATCAAGTTGACCACTTAATCTCGGTCTTTCTGCTGGAATGTTGTATCCCTCTCAGCCCGACATGCAGAATTGAGACCTGCCTCCGAAGTGATCTAACTTTAGTCAATGAGAGCGTAAAAACACAATAAAAAGAAAGTCTGATGGATCAAGGTCAGGAGACATATATGACATGATGTACTATGACTCATCACACTATGTGGTGTATGGGGCAATACCCAAGTGCTGGGGGTAGAGGGTCTGCCTTCAGTCTCATTCATTGTGCAAGTCATTTTGTAATTTTGGAGAATAATGCCCTCTCTCAGTAGTCCAGGTCTTTTGGTAAGTTGTTTTGGCTTTGGGAACCTTCAAGCCAACATTTTTCAATGCCCCAGCTGGTCTTAGTTTTAGTAAGAAAAGTTTTATGGCACTTGCAACACAATACACATGGAATCCTGGTATAACGAGAGGGAGGGGACCGAAGCAAAATGTCCGTTATAGCAGGATTCTCGCTATACTATAAGTATAAGGGATCCAGTAATAAATTCAAGAGAAACTGTAAAGTAGACCTAATCTATGAGTTTAGTGTTCTGTTTATTTCCTTTTGCTATCTCCCCTGATGATGATTTTGTTTCAACATGACCTCTAGGTCTTACTTGATCAAAAATCGAATTAGTTCTAAGCTCCTTGCCCCCATCCCACCACACCCTGTGGCACATTCTGTCTGCTTGCGCACGTCACTCATTCGCTCCATCCTTCCCATTGCTGTGACCTCCCCAACCCCACATCGGAGAAGTGAGAGGCATGGTAGGCCTTGATAATTTAAACTTGGCTTACGCTGGCCTATCACGCGATGCGTTCTGTTTCTCAACTGGCGAGGTTTTGCAGGTATAATTGGCCTATGCACTGTGCACAGCAGCAGCAATATTCTGCTATAACCGACTCGCATGTTTGTCTGATAGCGCTATAGCAGTATTTTATTTACAAAGGTAAAGAGGAGAAAAAAAACTGGGTTTTTGAATAGTGCCTTTATAACACACTTCTCGTTTTTTCCAGACTCGTTATAAGTGGACTCCACTGTACGTCAAATAACACATAAGCGGCAAAGATTTTTTTTAAATTTAGGAGAGGTTTTACGGCACTCGCAACTGCATAAGGAAGGTCATATGAGCGCCAAAGGGTGGATGTCAACAGAAAAGTCTTTACAGGGAATCAGGCTTACTCTGCTCGCCTCTCTAGCTTTAACAGCACAAAGTCTACTTCGACTTTCAAGGCACCCCGGAAATAGCGGGTCACAAGAGTGTGACAACCATACAAAAGAAGTAGAGGAAAAATGACAATAGTAAGGATTAGGAAAGAAAAAGCAGCAGTTCCCTGTTGCAGTTCAGGCACAGTTATGACTCATGAGCGCGACATAGATGAATCAGCCCATTTACAATTCTACTGTGCATGAACGAGAAATGGGGGGTAGGCAAAGATTAGAGGTGTTACTAGAAGAAAGTAACGTACAAAAAAAAAAAGAAGGAAAGCTAATGATGATAGATGTTTTAGTTTTATAAGAAAAGAGGAGCAAACCACACCAGGGCACCCACCAACCACCCACTGCTGCTGCTCTTACTCTTACACAATTTTATTTCAAGATAAAAATTTCGAAAGGTTTGTATTTTCAGCCACCTGTCTTCATGAATAAGTACATCGACGCACTGGATGCTGACTTCTCATTAAAAAATTTACAGATGCTCTGCACGTGGCTAACCTTCCACCATGTGTCCTTCCTGCATTAAACAAAATACAGTAGAGTCCACTTACAACGAGTCCTGAAATAACGAGAAGTCTGTTAAAAAGACACTATTCTAAAACCTTGTTTTTTTACCTTCTTTATCTTTGTAAATGAAATAGGCCTACAGTGGAATCCTGTTATAACGAGAGGGAGGGGACCGAAGCAAAATGTCCGTTATAGCAGGATTCTCGCTATAAGGAATCCAGTAACAAATTCAAGGGAAACTGTAAAGTAGGCCTAATCTATGAGTTTGGTGTTCTGTTTTTCCTTTTGCTATCTCCCCTGATGATGATTTTGCTTCAACATGACCTCTAGGTCTTACTTGATCAAAAATCGAATCAGGTTTGTTTCTCTAGCGCTAGATCTAGCGATGTGGACTGACAGTTCGGCGTTGGCAATCAGAAAGAAAGGGCTCTGGGCTAACTCCCCCGCTGTGTTTTCCCCCACCCCACCCCACCATGTGGTGCATTCCGTATGCTTGCGCACGTCACACATTCGCTCCATCCATCACATTGCTGTGACCTCTCCATCCCCGCATCGGAGAAGTGAGAGGCATGGCAGGCCTTGATAATCTAAACTGGCCAATAACACGATGCGTCCAGCGTGTCTGCGCATGCTACACCCTCCCTACTCAGTAGCTCCGGCCTTCATTATTGACGCACATGGGCTCTCCTATTCTTTGTTTCGCAAGATCAGCAACAAGTTTCTCAACTGGCGAGGTCTTGCATTATGTATAACTGGCCTATGCCATGTGTACAGCAGCAGCAATACTCCGCTATAACCGACTCGCAAGAGTGTCTGATAGTGCTATAGTAGTATTTTGTTTACAAAGGTAAAGAGGAGAAAAAAAACGGGGATTTAGAATAGTGCCTTTATAACACACTTCTCGTTTTTTCCGAACTCGTTATAAGTGGACTCCACTGTACTGCTATAGCAACACGAGTCGGTCATAGCGGAATATTGCTGCTGCTGTGCACAGCGCATAGGCCAATTATACATAAATGTAAAACCTCGCCAGTTGAGAAACGTGTTGGTGATCTAGCAAAACAAAGAATTGTAGGGCCCACGTGTGCCAACAATGAAGGCCGGAGCGAATGAGTGGGGAGGGTGTGGTATACACAGACAAGCAGTTGTGAAGCAGAACGCATCACGTGATAGGCCAGCCTTGTCTAGATTATCTAGCCCTACCATGCCTCTCACTTCTCCGATGTGGGGATGGAGAGGTCACAGTACTGTGATGGATGGAGTGAATGTGTGACGTGGATTGCACCACAGGGTGTGGTGGGGTGGGGGATAACACAGCGGGCGAGTTAGCCTAGCGAACTTTCTTTCTGATCGCCAGCGCCGAGCTGTCAACATCGCTTGCGCTAGAGAAAGAAAGAAGCCTGGTTCGAATTTTGATCAAGAAAGACCAAGAGGTCATGTTGGGCAAAATCATCACCAGGGGTGATAACAAAAAGAAATAAACAGAACACCAAACTCATAGATCAGGCCTACTTTATTATTTCCTTTGAATTTATTACTGGTTCCCTTATAACGAGAATCCTGCTATAACAAACATTTCGTACCAGTCCCCTCCCTCTCGATAACATCATTCATGTACATGTACACATATTTCAGTTCGTATGTTTTCAGCATACACAACATGTTCGTAGAAAATTTTGCGTGGGATTCATTCCTTTCCATAAAAATATGTATGACTCCATTTACCTCTACCTCTTACAACTATTTTCACCTTACTTTGCTGTAAGTTAATCTTCACTGTTTCATGTATCTAAATACATCACATTATTTGAAGAAGTAGAAGGATATGGTGGGAAAAAAATAGATTTAAATACAACAATGGCTTACTTCTCCCTTCCTTTCTCAACTATTTTCTCAGCTTCTCTCTGTGTGTGCTAAATTCCCATCTCAGTCTCACTCTCCACAAAGAGTTTGCTCAGGAATTCATAATGAAAGTCACATGACTAACAAATTATGTTTACAAGTTTGCTCCTAGAAAGAAATGAATGCAGCACTGAGCTCCAACTTATAATTATCTTGCAAACCAGACAGATGGAATAAGGGCATTAGTTGATATACAATGTACTTAATTTAGAATTAGAAGTGTAAGTGTGATTTCCTCTAAAATGTGAAAGTACAGCTTTTTAGTTTTGACAGTGCAGTTTAAACACTGAAGTACAAAACAATTCAGGTTGGAATAGATTAATAATTACAGACAAAGCAATGCCTTTTGTTCAACTTTTATTACTTTTAATGAATTTTACTTTGATATCTCAAGAGGGCTCTAAAATTAGGAGAGATAAATTTTCAAGAGATTTGCAGTGGGCCCCATTTATAACAGGCACTGTTATAACAGGATTCTGGCAACAGCAGGCCTGTAATAAATCCCCAAGTCCAGTCTTTCATTTCATAATGCACAGTAAACAAAAGTTCTTTCAAAGCAGGCATTCTGACAGACATGATCAGCTATACTATAACAGCGGTCCAACCATCGGAAAATGCTATTGAAAACAAACAGACAAGACAGCAGAAAAAAAAACAAATGAAGCAAAAATTATATTCACAATAATAGCAAATTGGATTTTTGCATGACCCACAGTAGGTCTTAGAAGTTGATTGTGTACATTTTATAATGTATCGTAGTGTGTGTTCTGGGGAGGGAGGGGGGAAACCAAATGCACTTTGGTGTATTCAGTCCGTGACTTAGTGTGGCCTTGGTCTGGCACCACATCATCATATTGTCTCCCCATTGGGAGGTGAGACTTGTACTTGTAGCCGGAATAAATGACTGAATGAAAAGTAGGCACTGGGCACTGGATCTACCGCATATATGTGGTCCTTTCCCTAACTGTGGTAACTATTCGATTTTTTAAAGTTGTAAAGTGTACACAGCATGTTGCAGACTCTAGAGAGCACGGACATAAAAATGCAATCATTATTGTTACCTGTCATCTCTAGATAAGTCGACTCAACCTCCATGAGACTACACTAAGAATAAAAGATACTATGGGAAAAAAGGAAGATAAAGATGAGGAGAAAAAAATTATCACTTAAAAAGAAAGTAACAATTATTGATAATTCAGTAGAACCTAATCTATGTTAGTCTGTCAGAGAAGTTTGGTACCGGTTGTTAATCATTAGGTATAGTGTATGTTGTTGTTGCTGTTAGCGATCCAGTAGCATCTGAGCGTTAACTCTTCTGTATGATGCCATTCGGTAATAGCTGCATGTTTGTTCTAATTGTTTTCTTGAGGAGTAAAGGCAATTAGATGTGTGGGGTAGCTTGGGAAGAAAACATCCCCTTAAATCAGTTAGTTTTCTACAGAAGAACAGATGATGTTCCACTGTCTCTGAGGGGTATAGTGTATGTAAACTTGATCCCCGTCTATGAGAGGGTCCAGCTATAACAGAGATATCGCATCATTCCTGAGTTATGGACAGGGACCACTGTGGTATAGTACCAGTAATGGACAAGCTGACCACAGCATAAAGACTGTACTGTACACATGGTGAGGAAAAAGTGACATAAACAATACATAGGTACATTGTACCAGCATTCAGTGTCAATAAAATACAGAATGAGAATTGATGACGTGAATATGATATAACTTCGAATTGATGACATGAATATGATATAACTTCGAATTGATGACATGAATATGATATAACTTCGAATTGATGACATGAATATGATAAAACTTCAGCTTAAGCTCAACAAAAAAGCAAAAGGCAATAACAGAAATGTTAGGTAAACAAATTATCCAACCATTGTTCGCTTTCGACCTCTCAACCTAACTTCATCTAACTTTGAAATAATTTCAGCACACGACTTCTTATTCTTGGTTGACTCTCTGTAAGATTTTAAGATACAGTCAAACAGCTGCTGGGTATTTGGATGAGAGCTGAGGAAAGCACGTTCCAAGACATACAGATCCACCCCTTTGTCCTCTGCAGAAGCTTCAAAGGAGCTCAGACCAAAGTCGATAAGTAACAGCTTCACGTCAGAGGGTTCGCCTTTGAGCAACATATTAGATGTGGTTAGATCCCCATGAATTATGTTATTTTCATGCATTTTACTAAGAGTTTGTCCAATTTTCACAGCAAGCGGCTTCAGTACATCATTAGCTGTGGATCTGTCTTGCTCTTGAACACCAGCAATGTGTTCTCGCACCGTGATGGCATCATCAACGAGCTCCATGTAGATGCTGCTGTTTTCAAAGTTGACCATATAAACAGTTGGGGTGAGTATTCCTGAAAAATATCAAAAGGAGGCATCATAATTTTGTCAGAAAAAAAGCATGTAATTTCAACTTCAAACAGCTGCCGACTTTTCAAAACCAAAAAAAGGATACTTTACCTACAACAGGGATCAAGAAGGTCGGCATTGGGTCAAGTAACCCACCTCCAAACCCTTTACGCACATTTTTCTGCATTCAATAAATTCATAATCAGTAGCACAATATGATCATGGACACACCTTCAACTGACCTTTCAGCTTCATTCTCATTACATAGTATCATTTGCAAATCCGGCTTTGAAAGTTCAAATTTTAAAAAAAAATAGCCTATTTGATGACCGGTGGTAGAATGAGGTACTGCATGAGAATTGATTGCATCTCTAAGAACGCATAGACTGAACAAAAGTGAGAACACAAATTTGGCAAAGCGTGCTCGCTTTCTGTCAGGTTGACGTCCAATACTGGCTTTTTCAATTTTATGTCAGATTTTTTTAAATGTGGAGATAATTGATTTGGAGCTGTCAAATTTCTTACAAATTTCCACCTTAGTGCAGGACTTCTTTCAACCTGTGCTAAAAGCTGATGCTCGGTTTCTATAGTCATACAATTAAGTTTTCTCTTCTCTGCCATCATGAAAAGTACCCTGTACCCATAAAAGGCCAGGAGCATGGATAGAGCATGCGCCTTGTTCAGTGTCAACAAAGCAAGAAAAAGGAAGAGAGTGTTGCTTTAGGAATAAAACTACTCTTGCATCAGATCATGATCATTACGATGTACAGCAGAGCACACCTAAAGAACACTCTTGGAAATAAAGAACACATTTCTTTGCCCCGTTTGTTTTCTCTCTTTGGATCATATTTATATTTTGACGCATTTAGCGAACATAACGAACTGACAGCTGTAACGAACCAATTTTCTTGCCCAACAAGTCTTTTTCCTTTTTGACGACTGAAGTAACGAACTAGCCCATCCCTATGAGTTGACCAAACCAAGAGTTGCCCAACTGCCACCTGAGTCTGCTTACACAGACATTGACACTAGTGTGCAAACATCAGCAGTGCTTTTCGATGCTGAAATTGTGGAGCAAGTGAAGGAAGCTTCTACTTCTCAAATAAACCGAAGACCATGAGCAGATAACTGTGACAGTGAGTTTCGCGGAGGCAAAACCAATGATGTTCTTGGGGACATGCAATTTTATGATGTTCTTGGGGACATGCAAAAATTTGTCACGGATGTCATGTAGGAGAAAGAGAGAAGCAGCAAACATCCATAACTTCCTTTTTTTCCTTCTCTTGGGAAGAATGAAGTTACTGTACATATGTACCATGTTTACTATTCCTTAGAGATTACTATGACTGAAAAGGACTATGTGAGAAAAAGTATATTTGTGTGTGTGTGTTGACTGAAATAAAGAACTGCTGATATAAAGAACTATTTTTACTGCCCAAGCTTTTTCTTTATAGGGAGTGCTTATTTAGGCCACATATGGCCTAAATAAGGTAAGGGAGGGGGGTTTAGCTTATTTAGGCCACAGTGGACTGTGGCCTAAATAAGGTAAGGGAGGGGGGTTTAGCTTATTTAGGCCACACATGTTCAGACTACCCTTTTCAGGCAACTGAGTTCATTCCACTTTCATAATGGTGCCCTTTTCTCATTTAGTATGGTTTTGCCTCAGTGTACAACTTATAAATCATAACCATAATGAATATTGTAAAGAACAAAGCACAAAACGCAAAATTTTGCTCAATTCCAATGGTTTGAATGAGGGCCGGATTTTTCCTTCATGGAGGGGCAAAAGCTAGGCTACCATTTTGGCACACTTTGGTCAAGTGAAAAGGTCAAATCCTCCGAATGGACTTTCGGGTTAAATTTGGGGTATAAAAAGTGTGTATACTATGTGACTGAGTCAAAGTTACACTATCTTTGCCTGAGTGACACTCTCTCGTACTGTCTCGTAGTAGTACATGTAGGCTAGTAGGCCTAGTAGTAGTAGTAGCAAAGATCGTGTAGAGAATATTTGGTAGTAGATTCTATCTAGTAGGCAGTTTAGTGAACGTGCTCGCGGCAGGGCGAATCGGCCTCGATAAGCCCCGTAGACTTTTGTGATCGGCCACGAAGCCTCGTGTTTTGATGGGTCTAGGTCTAGATCTAGATCTAAACAACTCAATGCTATTCGCACTGCCACATCCGACAGGCCTAGATCTACATATTTTTAAAAGGAAAAGAAAGATCATCAAAATGGTTGAATTCGCATGAAAATCGATTAGGTAGAACTAGAACTATTAAAACTTGCTTCTGAAAACAAGGCAATTTTTATACGAAGGCCATTTTTATAACTCGATGAAATAAAAACTACTGACTGTGTACTGTGTTATTCTGTATAAAAATAAATTATGAAACTTCAGGACGTAGATCTATTATTATTTACCAGCATCTTTTGACGCCTGAGCTGTAGAGGTTGAAGTTTTCACAACACTAATAGATCTAGTAATAGGGTTAGGTAATACGGCTTTCCGTAAAAAATGCATAGATCTACAAAAGCCGACCACCGAATCGACCGGGCGCCTCGGTCTCCCCTGCACTCTGATTCAATATTATATTTAAACAAAAATGCTAATCAATGAAAATTGCAAATTGATAATAATAGTATAGTCCTGTAGAGGATAGGTGGACTCCGGGGTCTGCATAGCGAAATACTAGGTTTTAGGATGTGGACCCCAGAGTCACCGTAGTGAAATAAGGTTTGGTTTAAGTAAGGATTGGTACTAGGTTTTAGGACAGGTGGACCCTGGGGTCACCGCAGTGAAATAAGTAGGTTTCTTTAAAGATTGGTGGAACCCGGAGTCACCAAGGCCATAGAGGATTAAGAAGGTTTAATTAAGGATTGGTGGACCCCCGGGACACCTTGATTAAACCTACTTATTTTACTACGGTGACCGCAGGATCCACCTATTCTAAAACTTAACTAGTGTTTCGTTAGGTAGACCCTGGGGTTCACCTTAAACCTACCTATTTCACTACGTTGACTCCAGGGTCCACCAATCCTTAAAATTAAACCTAGATCTATCTACATGTACTTATTTCACTACATTGACCCCAGGGTCCACCAATCCTTAATTAAACCTAGATCTACTGATTTCACTACATTGACCCCGTGGTCCTCCAATCCTTAATTAAACCTATATCTACTTATAATTTCACTACTTTGACTACGGGCTCCGCCAGTCCTATTATAAAATAAACTTAGATCTACTTATTTCATTATGTTAACCCCGGGGTCCACCGATCCTTAGTTAAACCTAGATCTACTTATTTCACTACGCTGACTCCGGGGTTCACATCCTAAAACCTAACATTTTGTTAGGTAGACCCCGGGGTCCACCTATCCTTTTGGCTAGATAGACCCCGTAGTCCGCCTATCCACTTTCTTGATAATAACTGAAAACAATACATGCCAGTTGTCATTTATAGTGAAGAAAAATGAGGGGAAAAAATATAATTAGGTAGACTTTAATTTGTCCAAAAAATTGCAAGTGCAAGTGAAGATCATAAAATAATTTTGTTATTTTCTGGTCACCTTTCCAAGGACCTTAAATTGATTCTACATCACTTGTCATGTACGATACGGCTGTGAAGGAAAATGGATGTGAAGAGTTTTAAAGAGATAATAACGTAACTTGCAAAGAAAACAATGCTTTACATTGGTTTGGTTATTTTGACTACATATGTACGGCTGTGAAGGAAAATGGATGTGAAGAGTTTTAAAGAGATAATAACGTAACTTGCAAAGAAAACAATGCTTTACGGGGGTTTAGCTTATTTAGGCCACAGGTGTGGCCTAAATAAGGTAAAGGAGGGGGGTTTAGCTTATTTAGGCCACCTGTGGCCCAAATAAGGTAAGGGAGGGGGGTTTAGCTTATTTAGGCCATATGTGGCCTAAATAAGGTCACCCTTCTTTATATCATCAGTGTTTCACTGTAACCAACACTAGTCAGAGCATGCCACTCATCCCTCTTATGCAACTTGTGTTTAACCACTTCCCAATCCACACCTTCATGTTGAACCGACACAGATATAGGCTATATGCACACCAACACAAAAATTTATTCACACATCATCAGGGCTCCCCATTATGCACAGGTGTGCGTATATTACGCAATAAACCAGCAGATTACCCCCTTTAAGTTTTGATGGTGCGTGAGTAGGCCTATTCCTCTTTAAAATTTTGGTTTGGAGGTTTGCATACCTTTAAAACATAGGTGGTGTGTGTCTGGCAAGCATCATTGCCCTCCTTCTCCATCCCGAAGCCGAGTCAATGATTATGATTTGACAATTGACAACACACCCACATATAAACACGGCATGGCAGTCACCTTTTGTGACTTTGTGTCAGAAGTAGTCGACCTACTTCAGCTGCGTGCAGTTTCCGGCAACACAGGTTTGCTTCAGCCGTGAAGCTCCGCCCACACTCTGGTCGTTCGCATGTGCCGGTGTTGTGTCTTGAGTTTACCCTTGCAGTGAAATTATCCCAACAGACCTGGCTACTCATCCCGATTTGTATCCCGATTTTTTGCCTCAAATCTCAAGCATCCCAATTTTCCCGATTTGATTCCGATTGCATGTATCCCGATTTTTTGTTTTGTTTTTTGTGCCTTCTGTTGGGCTGGATTTTTCTAAAAACTTATCTGCCTTCTTCTCTGTCGCAGGAAGCACCCGCTAAACTTTTTGTCAGCAGGAACTCGGAGCACTATTTCCCGAAATATCGATCCCGGATTTACTAGTAGTTGACTCACCCCAAGTTGTGTTGGATCTTTGCTCACACGTGTTATTTCCACTATTCCTAATGGAAGTAGTATCGATTTGGCATTCCGACTTGGGGCATTCTCAAGATCTACTTTTGCTTTTGTTTTCACTCAGAATTCTCTGTAGATGGCTTGATAAATGTTTCAATAGCAACGTACAAATGATCTATTTATTAATCATAGTTCCGCTGTTACTTTTCAAAACAAGCTATGTCCAAATGCTGGTTAGTCGGGCCCGTCATCAAGACCCGTCAGTAAAACTGTTTCATTCGCGCGTCCTTGGAGTCCTTGGCATGATACTTCAGGATTTTAAAAAAAATTATAGCAATAACTCGCACACACACACAGAGCAGAGGTCATACATGGATATATTATTCATGGACACCTGGGGAAAATTTTGAAAGTCAGACGGCAGTCACCCTGGTGATTTGTCGTTGATTCCAATTTTTCCCCTCCTGATATCCTGATTTTTAGATTTCATATAGTGGAAGGTCTGCCCCATCCTTCTTTAACACTAGTGAACATGAATTGTCCGCCATTATTTTTTTACAAAAATCGAAAGTCTGGAAAGACTGGAATGTGAGCCCTGGGATGGCTCTGAAGAATAATTAATCAGTTTATTTTCTTCGTGTATTACAGTCGGAATCGACCCCTATTGGTTTGTCAACTTTATTTTACTTTTGATTGGCCTAACTACCACCACCCTTCCCCCCCCCCCTCCCAGTGAACACAACTTTAACTCTAGTCAATAGTTGTTACTCATTTATTTTTCGTTATTTTTATTGAAACCTTACAGTGAATTAAAAATCGTTAGAATTCAATCATAGTCATGGTCACTCTGTGTGTGTCTGTGTGAATGTGCGTGTATGAGTTAAATGTTAACATGCAAAATTCTTACTACAATAAAATTAGGAGATAATTCACTTTTAAGGATGAGTTTGTCAGATTATAAACAAAAAAACAACATCCCTTTATGTTTCTAAAACAAGGGTTTAAATACCCCTTAGATAGAAAACCAAAGGGTCAAGGAACCTCTTAAGTTGACCTGAAAAGGGGAGCCCTGATCATACAGCCCAATGTCTGTTTTAGTCCCTACCCACCCTTTCAATATTAATAATAATAAGATTCAAAGCAGTTCTAGAGCCTTGTACATACTCGCAGTCGGCTATTATACTATAGGACTACTGGTTTTAAGTGGAATCACGTAGCGCAGGGGTGAGTATGGCGGGCTCATCCAACCTGATGCACTCGATGCTATGGGTGTGTTGTTTTCCATCATGTGCTCAGGGGAGATTTGAATTTGAGACAGAAGTGGGGGAAAAATTTGATCAGGTTTATTTGGGACGAGCTGTTCTACAAATCTGCACAGGTGTTTCTGTTTAAGAAAAGAAGTCAGTACAAAGAAGCTATATATATATATATAGCAGTTCAGTCAGAGAATGGCGTATGATTTCGAGATTTGCGTGTTCATCATGTTTTCTGTGCCTGACTGGGGACTACTTACCAAGGGCAGTCCCGTCTCTTTTGTTTAAGAGGCGGCCATATTGGATACCTGGGGGGGGGGGGGGGGGTCCAGATCACGCGAGTGTTATTGGCACAGGGGCTTGAGATGGCCAGATATTTAAACATTTTATATATTATGTGAATGATTAAAAATGTGAATGAAAAAATGTGGCTCCAAAGTACACACAGATGTTTTGGCACTTCTAATTCCAGATAAAGATGTTACAGAAAATGTAGAGGTATATGTATTTGGCAATTATTCTACAAAGTTTTTAAAGTTTACACCGGCATTTAAATAAGAGCCATCTACTAAATTCTATCTAAATAGTAGCACCACCTTTTTTTTGTAGCTTGGGTTTTGGCTCCTTTTAGACTCGGCCAAACCGCCCAACCTAAACCAAAATCTCACATGATTCGCCAATTCTCGTTTCAAATCGGTAGGCTATCCAATATGGCTGCCTCGAAAACAAAGGAGAGGGGACCACACTGGGCAAGTAGTCCCCCTGATTGTATCATCTCAGTGGTAATAGTGGTATGCCACTAATTCCTTGGAATTCCTTGCAAACTTCTAAAAGCTGTGGCTGTGGGTCTGGAAACTGAAAATTAAAATCTGGGAGGAATTCCGTAACGACAACGAGCAAGCATTATGAAATATAGAGTATAATAGAGGGTTAGGGTTAGGGTTTGGGGTAGGGGTAGGGGGTAGAGGTTAGAGCTAGGTCGCTTCTTTATTTTGTGCTTGTTGGGGTGGTTGCTCCTTACGGAAGTCCTTCATAAAATCTGAAGTAGGCCTAGCTATAAGACAACAGTTTGAAATCAAAAGGCCTTACCAGCCATTCGACACCTGAGGTTGGCTCTAACCTCAGATTTAAGCCTTTGTGCAGTTAAAGTATTATCCAGAGTTGGGTGTCGGTAATTCTTTTTGAAACGCTCCTTTACGATGCATGGACGACCATAAAAGTCAGCCTTGAAGAGCCTTGCCTCGGCACCTTGCTTGAGCAACGTTTTGTTATTCATGTCTCTGATTCAGGTAGAGAATTACAAAACAAATTGAAGCAAGTTTCAATTCTATAGAGACTCAATATCTAGGTAGATCTATATATTTTATGTCAATTGTGCGTTAGCGACGTCGATGATAATACTAGTGAGTGCAGGCCTGCCAGATTCCTAGAACATTGCACAAGAAAACTCAGTGGTAGATCTTATTGAGCATTGCGCAGCATTGCAGTTTTCAGCAGTTGAATTTTGACTCGCAGTCGGCTTAAAAAAGAACCAACTATTCGGGATTTTAATTATTCAGTTTATCATTTTTTAAATTATCAATTAATAATGTTTTAATATATTTCTAAACAATACATGTGTATATTTCTTTTGCTTCTGCCGACAACCTCTTTTTGTAGTCTTTTTTTCCAGAGTCTTGTAGTCTGGTAAAGGATTCGCAAGCCCCCCCCCCCTGCTGCTGCCTCCTCTGCCCTCTCTGCAAGCCTGTTCATGAATTCCTCCTTGTCTTTTCTCAGTGATCTCTTTACATCTTTAGCTGTTGTCCTGTACTGCTCTAATGCATCCGCTTTGACCCCCTTGCTCTACTTGCATTTGTCTCTGCTTTCAATTGTCTTCTAATGCTAATCAAATCCAATGATCGTTGGCTAATCCATTCCTTATAAACTCCAATTTTCTTCTCATCGAGTATTTCTTGACATGTTGAAGTAAAGACTTCTTTGACCTTGGTCCAGTGCATCTCCATCTCCATGTTCTCTTCGCCAAGGTCCGCCTAGGGTTGAAATCTGTTTCTCAACTGCACTTGAAACTCCTGGGTTTTTTTGTGTCCATCTAAAAGACTTACTTGGAACTTCATTCTTTTGGTACCTGTTCTGGTTCCGTGCTTTTTTAGACGAAGCTTGAGTTTTGCTAACAGTAACAGCAGATGATGATCCGATCCAACGTCTGCCCCTCTCTGTACTTTGACATCTTCCAGTGAACACCTGAACCTACGAGAGATACAAAAATGATCGATCTGGTTCTCCGTCACTCCATCCGGTGATACCCAAGTAGCCTCGTGGATCCTCTGGTGTGGAAAAACAGAGCCTCCGATGACAAGACTGTTAAAAACACAGATACAATGTATATCTTGACCACTGGTCAGTCTGACCACTGCTTTACCACTGGTCACTTTAACATGACAATTCATGTAACTTGACAGGGGGAACAGAGGCGGGGAACATAGACACGGTCCCCTCAGGCCGTCTAAGACCTTAGACTTAACGTAGACTTGGGCGAGAGTCCAATGGCGCCCTCTATTGGTCATCTGGCTGATATCTTGGGACACCATTTATTTTGTCAATAGACCGAGGTGGTGCAGTTCCTTTGATTTTTGAAGACTCTCCAGGCGACATAAGAATCACATTCCCTTTTCTCATTAAAGACAAAAAGCCTACAAATTAAAGTATGTATTCTCATAATCAGCACAACTCCGGAGAATCGGCGACGAACGCTAGATCTAGACATTGGCCAAACTCGAAGAGACGTGTGGGAAAATAGATGAGGCTCAAATACATGTCAACTGTTCAGTTTTTAAAAAAACATGTACGTTGCATTTGTCTAAAAACTGACTTTATTGCTTTCCTGTGGCCGCAGATTTTTTCTCCGTCACATAATAATCTTTTCGATGTGAGGATCAGACTGTAAATGAGTTATTTTTACCGGTGGGAGGTACAATAATGAGATTTGACTAAGTATCTCCATCGGGTTTGGGCTTTTTTTTTTTTGGGGGGGGGTAATATTAATAATGATAGTAATGATACAGTCAAACCTCGTTGTAACCACCCCCACCACCCCACCCCCGGTTATACTACAGCCTGCCCCGCTTAAAATTACCGCCAGGTTTTGTCAATGTACGAAAAGGAACGCTTCTATTCTATAAACAGAGTATTCGCGCCTTTACACAGCCATCCGCCAACTGTCTGAGTTTTACACTGTCCTAATCAGTAGCCTATCATTAAACTAATGTAAATTTGCCCAGATAAACCGTCAACTAATCGGCCACCAGAGGTACACACGACACATGACAATCAAATTCAATCGGTGGCCGCTTGATAATCCTGTCCCCCGCGGTTTTATACTCACAAAAAAATAATGAAACTATGCAAACTGAGCCCAAAATGTGAAATTATGCAATTCTGTTAATTTTAACAAAGAAGGATAAAGGAAAATAATCAGACATCATGCCAACAAATGATAAAATTTTGCTAAATTATGCGGGATGCATAAAACCCCGGGGACAGACTGTCCCCATCGTTTTATGCAAGAAAAATTCTGAAATTATGCAAACTGAGCCCAAAAATGTGAAATTATGCGATTCTGTTAATTTTAACAAAGGAAAATAATCAGAGACTGAACAAAACAAAAAATTATCAAATTTTGCTAAATTATGTCGGGTGCATAAAACCACGGGGACAGATATATACTTTATACCATACTACACCACTATCCGCCAACTATCTGAGATGTAATAGCCTACAGGGGCACACACGACCTGGTGGCTGATGGAAAATCTCTGTCGTACACAAGTCTTTGAGGATTGGAGAGTTTGGCTTTTAAATCTCTATCGTCTTTTATTTCGTTTTGTTCTGATCTGTTTGCTTCTTTGACATTTGCTCCATATTTGCACTGATTATGCAGAAAAGCTACTATTAGGCTTTGGCCAATACATGTATTTTTAAAAATTTAATTCTTCAGTCGCCGGGAGAAACTTTAAAGGAATTGCACCATATTGGCCAGTCGTCAAAACATCTGGTGGGCGCCCGTGGAGCTTTTCTTTGGTGAGGACTTACCCTCAACATCAAGTGTACCGGTACACATGACAGATCTGATGCAGCCCGAGGACTGATGATTATCCGGTACAAAGGAAAAACAGACCGCCTACAGACAGTCCAGGGTTCTTGACACATATAAACTAGATTCTGATTTGGCAAAAATTTTCAATTTGAATATTTACATACACATCATGTACCTGTAAAGTAGTTTAGTTCAGCTGGAGCTGTACAGTGCATATAGCTTAGTTCAAATTGGTTACTTCTCGTCTTTCCCCTGTCCATGGCAATAGCGCAAGACAGATGTCTGGTTTTCAGTCTCTAACGACAATCTGTGCTATCCTGTTACAGTGGAACTCGGATTCAACGAGGTCGCCGGGCCTGACCTAAAATCTCGTTGAATCCGAGTGTTCGTTATAGTTGTAGTATAGCATAGCAAACACAAGGTTTTGTGTACATAATTACTGAGCAATAATGTATAAAGAGAAGTCACCAGTAGTACCTGAAATACCAGCAAATTATAAGCTGTAAAAAAAAAAGACCGATTCGTTCAAATGCACACGCCTGTGTCATCTCGATAGTTTACCAAAAAGTTGTGTTGCTGTGTAGAGCCTAGCAAACGGCAACTTTTGATTCCATAGACCAGCGCACACTTCATTACGTAGACCTACGTCAAGACTAGCTTATCATTGTAATCACATGTAATGGTCAGTTGCCGAGGGGGGAAAAAGACAGTGACGCGTTTGTATCTGCGACGTTCAACGCCCGGACCGTTAGTGCCCCCCCCCCCCCCTCCCCGACACGCAACCACAGGCACACGTGTGCAGGCCGCCCATCCGTCCCCAACACACGCCAGAGTAGACACGTGCGCGTGCCAACAAAGCATGTGTTGGTATGAAAAAAGGCCGCCGATTGGTCGCATGCAATCGGCTAAGTGCATAATGGTTCATGATACAGGTGCACTGGGTGGTTTCCGGGAATAGATAAAGTTCGTTCTGGGAGAAAAATTAGTGAAGCCACGTCTTAGGGGGCTGTTCACCCTGGAAGCGACCTAGCTGAATCTGAGCTCGCTGTAAGTGCTCGCTGAATCCGAGTTACTTTTTATTGATTTTTAAAGAAGGTTGAATCCGAGTTCCACTGTATACTGCCAGCCCCACTCAACCACCAACTTATCTGTCCCAATGCAGGCGGTAAAACAATATAAAAGTTTGTATTATTAGTATTAACGGGGCTTGACAGCCTATATATTAATTATATATTATTATATTCTGTCTTGAGCCCTATTCTGGTGGTACAGTAGTCTCCGCCTAAACGCACGGTGCTCGGGAGGGCTCCTTAGCGTGTGTTTATACGGAGCGTGCGTTTACATGAACCCAGTGGCGTCGCGTGGGTTGCAGACAAGGTGGTGCATAATAAGAAAGTGAGCAAATGGGCAATAGGCTCAGCAGCTACTATTAAGATTTCTAGAGAAAGTCAATTAGAATCTGCAGGATATCCCGTAAACTACACCTATCGATATTTACAACTGTTTTTTTTTTTTTTTTTTTGTTTTTTTTTTTTTTGTTTTTTTTTTTTTTTTTTGGGGGGGGGGTTTTTTTTTGGGGGGGGGGGGGGGTTAGATGAAACCGCATAAAATCTGCAATAAAGTGAAACAATACTAACGGCTCACTATGCTCACAATCTGAGAAGATTAAAGATTTTTAATTACTTCGTGCAGCACCAGGACTTGCTACATACTAAAGGGGGAACAACAGTTTCGATACCCATTCTTCATTGAGTTACCGTTGGCTCTACTAGATCTAGATCTAGTGTAGTAGATAGGCTCGCGGAAACTTGGATCAAATTTTTAGCTTGCACCAAATTGGTGCTGCGAAGAACAGTTCCATGCACCTTTCTTCTTGTGCGGAAGAACGATGCCTAGATTTCTCTACAGTACAAATATAACTTTGGTGCACAGATTTTGCTTGCTCCCAGCAGACACTACCGCAAGCAGTGCGACGAGCATAAACCATCCTCGCTGTCTGTCTCTTCACTGGCGCAGCAAGCGGGTGACGAATCGCAAGGATCATGTACATCTAGACCGCTGACTGGTTTAGAAAACTTAGGAAAAAAAGGGGGGGGGGGTAGGTTGAAGGCCAGGGTTAGGTGGAGCGCTTGCACCAATTGCACCAATGGCGCCCTGCCACTGCATGAACCTATTATACAAGGGGAGGAAGGGACGCAGTCATCTCAATTCCTTTCTGTCCCCACTCCCTCACCTCCTTTCTCCCCTCCTCTGGACTCATGACTCTTTCTGCAGCCTTTCTTCTTCTGCTACTCCTTGGCTCATTCTTACTGCTGTCTTTCAACCACACCCCTGATCTTCTGGTAGGAAAGATCTACACCTAGCCTTCTCGGACAAGGGCGAAAAATCTCGGAGGGCCCGTGTGCAAGTCACCCGGACAAAATTAAAAATTTCCTACCAACTG